ACAAGGAATTAAAGAAATCTCACAAGCCTGTTAAAGTAGCTGCCAAATGTTACTGAGCAAAAAATTAATAAATTAAAAGAACATTTTAAAAAAGAATTGTCACGGGCATGTCACGACATGTTACATAAGCTAATATTGTGGGGTTTTTTTTATTGTTTTCTTTTTAACTATTTGTTCTCGAGGAGATGATGTAATGTGGGACCAAAACAACAATGCAGAAAGTATAAAAGAACATAATGCACAACCTCTGAATTTATACTTTATTTGACACTTTGACTTGCCTTCACATGCCCCTGGTAATAATTCAAAGTGATGTGACTAAATTTCAAGGGTGAAATTGAAGACAGGGACCTGTCTCTGAGAGAAGTTTCAAGCATTAAAGGGTTAGTTAACCCAAAAATGAAAATTCTGTCTTTAATTACTAACCCTCATGTTGTTCCAACCTCGTAAAACCTTCGTTCATCTTCGGAACACGAATTAAGATATTTTTGATGAAATCTGAGAGCTGGATCACTCCTCCATACACTCTTAGAAGAAAAGGTTCTATATAGAACCTTAAAAGGTTCTAAAGCGCTACGTATTTGGAACCCCTAAAATGCAATGTAATTAATGTGTCAAATGTAATTAATTAATATCACACGAAGAGTGCCATTTCAGTTTTTATCCTCCAAAAATCTGCATGATTAAAATGTGACATTAAGTTAACAGTTTAATAAACAATAATTTACAAAATGTTGCAGAATAATGTAATATATGAATGAATAATAACCTTTCTTTCTTGCCATTATTGAACCTTTTTTTAGCATAAAATGCCCTTTGGAGTAGAGTAAAGAACCCTATGCTACATATATAGAACCCTTTTTTTCCAAGAGCTTCTTTGCCCAAAAATGAAAATTGTGTCAGTATTTACTCACCCTCATGTTGTTCCAACCCCGTAAGACCTTTGTTCATCTTCGTAGCACGAATTAAGATATTTTTGATGAAATCTGAGAGCTGGATCACTCCTCCATACTAGTCCATATGCTTGAGGGATTAAAACTTGCCGGTCTCGAAAAGTTATTAAAGACACTGTTAAAATAGTCCAAGTCACTACAGTGGCTCAATCTTAACTTTATCAAGCGACGAGAACACTTTTTGTGCGGAAAATAATAATAATAAAAAAGAATGACTTTATTTCAACTACACTGTAAAAAATAATCCTGTAAAAAAACGGTAAACTACTGGCAGCTGTGGTTGCCAGCATCATACCGTAAAATTACGGTGTGTTACTGTTTTTGAAATTAACAGCTAAATACCGTATTGTCAGCTACAGTATAAAACTTTAATTTAACAGCTATATGCTCAAACACAAAAACAGTAACACATCATATAGTTACGGTATGATGCTGGCAACCATAGCTGCCAGTAGTTTACCGTTTTTTTACAGGATTAGTTTTTTACAGTGTAGTTGAAATAAAGTCATTCTTTTTTATTATTATTATTTTCCGCACAAAAAGTGTTCTCGTCGCTTGATAAAGTTAAGATTGAGCCACTGTAGTGACTTGGACTATTTTAACAGTGTCTTTAATAACTTTTCGAGACCGGCAAGTTTTAATCCCTCAAGCATATGGACTAGTATGGAGGAGTGATCCAGCTCTCAGATTTCATCAAAAATATCGTAGTTTTAGTAGTTTACAGCTATGATCTGTTGTTGTACGTCACACGCATCACACACATGACCAGCGTCGGCCAATAGTGAGCCTACGTGTGACGTAGCTCTACGCAATTACACTAGTTTAACTGACTAGAGGCCCAAAGAGAAGGAAATGAATAGTTGAAATAAAGTTGTTATTTATGTTTGTTTTTGCGCACAAAAAATATTCTCGTCAATTGATAAAGATAAAATTGAGCCACTGTAGTCACTTGGACTATTTTAACAAGGTCTTTAATAACTTTTCGTACACATTTCGAGTGAAGTGGCGTGTTATCTCTACGCATTTTGAGCTATCCGTGCGTATGCGTGTATGTCTACGCCATTAACGTCCGCGTCATTCCGCGTGTCTGTACGCTCCGTCAAATGTCCAGTCATAAATGCCATTAACCCCAGTGACGGTTAGGTTTAGGGACGGGGTTGAAGTAAGTCATATATTTATATATACAGTAATAACGTTAAGTCAACGGCGTTCATAAACACGCTGAATGCGTCTTGATAGCACGCCAAAAATGGAAATACGAATTGGCGTGTCATACACACGCTACTTCATGAGATCAGTCTGTAATTTGTGTTCCGAAGATGAGCAAAGGTCTTATGGGGTTGGAACAACATGAGGGTGAGTAAATACTGACAGAATTTTCATATTTGGGTGAACTATCCCTTTAAGTTTATCAAGCGACGTGACGAGAATACTTTTTGTGCGCAAAAAATAAATAAATAACGACTTTATTCAACTATTCATTTCCTTCTCTGTGGCCTCGAGTGAGTTCACGTAGTGTAACAGCGCAGCGCTTCTAGGTTGTAGCTACAAACAGAAGTGCTTCGCTGTCGTTATTTTTGTTTGTTTTTTGCGCAGAAACAGTATTCTCTTTGCTTAAAAAAGGGACACTCCACCCATTTGCATTAAGCTTTCCATTGTTAGAAACCCAGTTATACTATTGAATGTTCATGCAACACTCTCTCATTTTCCCCTGAGATGAGAGAAATCTTACCTTTTTCACTTCCTTCTACATTGACGCAAAAAACGTCATTTTACGTCATTGTAGCAGGAAGTGTAAAATGGAGGGATTTCTGCAAAGAGTACAAGCACTTTTCTAACCAGCCCATAAGGGGTTGGACCTAATGCGCTAACAGTCCTACCACAGTGCCAGTGCATTTGATTTCGCCAGCAGAAACTTTTTGAAAAAATGGACGAAGGTACTGAATACGCAGACGGATGCATTATGGAGGATTGGGATTACACATAGTGTCAGCCATCTTGTTTGGAAGCTAAGCTATTAGGCTCTTGTTCTGTGGAGAAAGCTGAGTAGTAACTTTAGCAGTTACCGTCCTCTTTTTTTCGGACATGTCCGGCAGTCGATGTCCGGGATTCAGCTTTTGCTTTCTGCAGTCGCCATTCATTGTTTACATGTACAGCTTTTGTTTGTCACGTGAGAGATACGAGACCGGTGCGTCTCAGAGGTGTCACTCATCTGTAATCACGCCACCGGCCTTGCGTCGTTCTCCACACGGGCCTCACTCGTCCTATTCGCTACAGTAAACATGATGAATGGCAACTGTAGAACGCAAAAGCCGAATTCTGGACATTTTGGGCGATCTCGAAACACATTTTCGGGCCGACTCATCACGGAGACTCACTAGTAGTAGCCTGGTCTTGTTGTTTAACTACTGCGCTCTTACCGGTAGGCTTCACCGAAGCAAGTGCATTCTGGGAGTTGTTGTCTTTCATCCACATAAGCCAAAAATAAATTTTCTGGCTTTTCACTCTTTAGAAAGCTCAAAATTCAAAAAATAATTTCACATTTCTTCTACATAAATTACCCATTTTAAATACACATTCATTTTTCCAGAGGTGGAATGACCCTTTAAGATTGAGCCACTGTAGTCACTTGGACTATTTTAACGATGTCTTTCAATGTTTGTCAATGAAAATGAAAATTGGTTTTGAGGAGCCGTTTTGCATTGAGTATTTCTCCTAAACATGACTTTTTGTCAAAATGTCCTGGTTTGTTGTACAATTTTACACTTTATGTGAATGCCGATTGGTCAATGAAAAATAAAGGCAGTTGCCTCAGTCCTTTCTCATTAAATTTAACCGTTCTCTCTTACAATATATGGACACATTAAATAAACTTCATCAAACAGAAGCTGAGAGAAGTATACAGTCTCATCCCAAGAAGTCATGTAACTGACGTCTTGGGACGTCTTTTGACCATACGTCAACATCTGCCTTTTTAGGGTACCCTTAAACGTCGGTTAGATGACGATCCCGGGCCGTCATACAACTGACGATTTAGCTTTAACGTCGGTTAGGTGACGGGGTAGGTTAAGGTTTAGGTCTGGGGTAGGGTTAGGATCCGATAACGCCATCTGACCGACGTCTTTAGGGATGTTGACTTATAGTCAAAAGACGTCCCAAGACGTCAGTTATATGACGTCTTGGGATGAGACTGCGCTGAGAGAAGAATAATCAAAATTTGTCATGGAACATTTTGTCATGGAAAATTGCAGACTTTATTAAAATGATTTATCTGTGCACAACATTATTTTATTTAATGTTCCTTATAATCTTTATTCAAAATAACTCCCCCCTCCCTCTTGCAGTGACATCTTTTCTCCTCTCTGATGATGTGTTTGCCCCCATGAGGGCACATTAAATCACAGCAATAGCAAAGCATAAGAGCTATTTCACAGAATGTGTGCTGTTTTTGTCCCCAGGACATTATATAATATGCATAAGCCAAGTGTCCTGAACATTAATCTAACGATCAAATGTCTATCTAAAACTATTACCCCATACCAAATCTGTGCTTTACATATTTGTTACATTTTATATTCATTAATGTTAGTTAAGAAAAATGCAGCTGTTCATTGTTTGTTCCAGTTAGTTCACAGTAGGCTACATTAATTAATGTTAACAAATATAACTATTTGGTTTTAATAACTTAGTAAATGTTTAAATTAATATTAACTAAGATTAATAAATGCTAAAGAAGTTGTTCATTCTTCGTTCGTGTTAACTAAGGTTAACTAATGAACCTTATTGTATAGTGTAACCCAATGCTTTAGCCGTTTTCTTACAACAGGTCTACACCTAATAAGCATGTATCCTAAATCAAGTCCCAAAAATGAACATGAATGAGACAGGCATAATTGATCCATCGGTAAATGATTTAAATTGATATCTTTCATATTCTTAAAGCTTTAGTCTTAAACTTTTTTGTCGTGTTGTGTCGTATTTCTAATAATAGGACCATACAATCATAAAAATTAAAAGTCTCAAAAAAGTATATTTCATGACTGAATTGTGTGCGTAAAACGCCCCTTTTTCTGATCACGCATTCAAAGGCGAGACTAAATTCAGCACCAGACCCAGCAGATCCATCATCTGACACTGCAACAGTGGAGAGGACATCTATAGTCTATTCCACAACATTTAGAGGAGAGACCGGAGAGTAAAATAAAATGACTTAATTATTAAACATTTTAAATGGATGTAAATTAGTCTCTTTTTCCACTGATGAACAAAAAATAATCAAAAACTGAACAGACAAATCAAGAAAGCAAAGTTCTAAGAGGGATGAACCGCATTTATGTCGACTCAACGGAATTAAAATTATTTTTGCTATATCTTTAAAGAACCTGTGAGATTGTTTGAGAATGGAAAACTTCACAGTATTTAACGAGACTCTGGAAACCTGGACGGACCGCAGTGTCGAATACAAAGTGATCAGCGTCCTCGTGGTTTTCCTCATATGCGCTTTCGGGATAGTTGGAAACGTGATGGTCATCCTGGTGGTCCTCACAACCAAACATATGCGGACCCCGACCAATGGCTATCTGGTTAGTTTGGCGGTCGCAGACCTGATGGTGTTGATCGGAGCCGGTCTGCCGAGCATAGCGGACAGTTTGTTCGGTTCATGGATTTTTGGACACGCGGGATGCCTGTGTATCACATACTTCCAGTATCTGGGAATCAACGCATCCTCGTGCTCCATAACAGCCTTCACTATAGAGCGATACATCGCTATATGCCACCCAATCAAAGCGCAGTTTTTATGCACGCTCTCGCGCGCGAAGAAGATCATTTTTGGAGTTTGGGTTTTCACGTCTCTTTACTGCGTAATGTGGTTTTACCTCTCCGATATCCAACAGGTTCCCTACAAGGATGTGACTATAATTACGTGCGCTTACAAAGTGTCCAGAAACCTTTATCTACCCATATATTTTGTCGATTTTGGCATCTTTTTCGTCCTGCCGCTCACTCTTGCCACTGTCCTGTACGGTCTCATTGCGAGAATCTTGTTTCTCAATCCTCTCCCGTCGGACAAGAACGGACATGACAACTTTTCCAAAGCCAAAAAGAACAAAATGAAGAATTCCAGCCGCTGCTCCAGTACAACCGCAGCATCCAGAAGACAGGTGAGAGGATCTCATTTAAGGTTCAAAACTTTAATATTTGGAAACAAAAAAAAAGCTATAAATGTATCCATACAAATCATAGAGGAAAACAAAACTTGTTTCAGGTGCAGAACTAGCACCTATCTATCTATCTATCTATCTATCTATCTATCTATCTATCTATCTATCTATCTATCTATCTATCTATCTATCTATCTATCTATCTATCTATCTATCTATCTATCTATCCATCCATCCATCCATCCATCCATCCATCCATCCATCCATCCATCACCCAACCAACTATCTATCTATCTATCTATCTATCTATCTATCTATCTATCTATCTATCTATCTATCTATCTATCTATCTATCTATCTATCCATCCATCCATCCATCCATCCATCCATCCATCCATCCATCCATCCATCCATCCATCCATCCATCCATCCATCCATCCATCCACCCAACCCACTCACCCACCCACCCACCCCCCACCATCTATCTATCTATCTATCTATCTATCTATCTATCTATCTATCTATCTATCTATCTATCTATCTATCTATCTATCTATCTATCTATCTCATCCATCTACTATCCATCCATACACCCACCCACCCACCATCCATCCATCCATCCATCCATCATCCACCCACCCACCCAACCAACCCACCCACCCACCCATCCATCCATCCATCCATCCATCCATCCATCCATCCATCTATCCATCCATCCATCCATCCATCCATCCATCTATCTATCTATCTATCTATCTATCTATCTATCTCTATCTATCTATCTATCTATCTATCTATCTATCCTGACAGACAGACAGACAGTTATTTAAGCAGATGCAAAGACACACGCGTGCACTCACATGCACAAATCTGGTTCGCTATCTTTGCCGTAATAATTTTTTTATACTGTACAAACATAGACTGTAAAAAAATATGGACGTAGTGTCCGTGACGTCACCCATTGGTTTCTGAAGAGCGTTTTTGAAGCCTAAAGTGGGCGGGGCCGGCCGTCGCCATCTTGGCAGTGCTCGTCACTACCGGATAAATTAAAATGGGCAAAGAGCAAGGGGGTAATCCATCGACCGGAAGTTGAAGCCTCGTGGGAGCTGACATCTTGTAGCAGAACTTCACTTGCGTTAGCATTCCCATTGACTCCCATTCATTTTGGCGTCACTTTGACGGCGAATAACTTTACATCTGCGGCGTTTGAAGACTCCATTTGTCCTTTATTTATTTCTAAAGAAACACGACAATGTATAAATAGCTCCATTACCTTGTAACTTATGTTATGGCCCCGTAGAAACAGTTTTAGTGAAAGTAGGCTAACGATTGCGTCATACCCACGCGACTCTCTGTCGCACAGTAAAGAGATTACCGTATGGACATGAGAAGAAGCTCGCGCGCAATCGGGGAAACGTGGAGGCAAAATGACAAAATAATTAATCAGAATACCTAGCAAAATTGTCTCCTTCTCCTAGCTCATGGACAGCTCCTATTCACACTCTCCGCCTCTGCATGTTTCAGAAGGGAATGATTCAGATTTCTCATGCCACAGCATTAGAAGACGGTTTGCTCTCGTCACATCTACGTAGTCAAGCTCTGTTTGAGTCTGTGTGTCAGGGACGGAAGTGCTAAAAAAATCCCCAAAAATGGGCTTCAATCGTCTCAATGGAGTTCCAATGAGATCGCTCTGTCCATTTCTTTTACTGTCTATGGCAAAGAGGCGGGACGCGGGTGGAGCCGAGGTACTAATGCTATGCTACTGCCCTCACGCTGAATTGACAGCTGATTGAAAAAGTAAAGCCAATGGTTAAAGTTCATGTTTTGCCCTTCGAAATATTATAATAGTTAAGACGTAACTAAAAGTGAGACTATTTACTTTACTTTTTTGTCAACTTTATTAATCTCACAAGGGGCAATTAGTTAAGAGCATGTATACAAGTACATAACACAGATCACACACAATTCTCACAACATACAAGCAGTCAACTATGTGCATCGTGATGCATTATTATTCTGCTAGTTAAAAATGTATTAATTACTTACAATATTGCTCTAAGCTTGTGCATGTGACAGTGATTCAAGGCAAGCACACATGTCAGTCGGCATCTCATGTCAAGTTCGTAAAGAGCTTTAATTCAGTTCATTTTACAATCTGATTTTGGCCGCCTCTCAGTTTCTCAAATGGGTCAAACCAAAGATATTACCTCAGAAGTTCAAGTAAATGAACTAGAAATCCGCGCTCATTCAAGGGTGTGCATCTATTGCATGGACGGAGAGAAAGCAATGCAATCATCCAGACATCCATTGTTGTTCTCTGGTTGTTCTCTATACTCAACAAGACGGAATCCAACGGCGTGCACGGACGAAGGTATAATGCATGTATTAAATTGTATGAAATACTCCCGGGCCGGAAAAAGCACAAACACAGCTGAGGCCGGGTGACGCTAAAAGACAGCAGACAAACGACTAGCAGCGAAAGTGGCGGCAAGAATCCACCTGTCACTCAAGTGGCCACACCCTTAATTATGCAGAACTTTAAGGCTTAAAGGTGCCATATGTAATAATTGAGGTAAAAATATCTAAAAAAATGAGCTACACACATCAAAAGAATGAGAAGAAATAAGTGCAATAATGTAATTAAAAAACTGACAAGTTATAGTGCTGCCGAGATATAAACCTAAATTAGCATGCTAAATTACTAGCCCCGGCCCGGCAGGTGTCGTAATACCAGTTTCGGCCATGGGAGGCGGTATGCGGGCGGGCAACATTACCACCAGCAAAACTGCAATAGACGAGTGAGTCGCGCTCGCGCCGGCTTGTGTGTGTGTACTTGAACCTGATGTCAGTCGTGTGGAAATACAGCCCACTACTACATTTCAGTTCAGGGAAGAGTTCAAAAAATGATTGGTCGACATTATGCATGAGGAATACATTTTGGTAAGTTGTAGCATACTGTATCTTTCAACAGAGTTCGTGTTCTTTTTCCATTAGCTAGTAGAGACGATCGGTTCATGTGCGCTATAGGGATCTGTCGTGTAACATATACAAGCGCCAAAACGGTGTTTATTGTTTGAATTGCGTAATAAAATTGACAGAATCTGAGAGCTTAACTAACCTGCTTGCTAAGTGTTAATTGCGTGTGTCTCACGGTGAATTTGTGAGAGTTGGCAGCTCTGAATGGCGCTAGCTTGATCAACATCAGCCAATGCTGTCTGTCAAATTAATTCAAACGAACAATAAAAGTGTAATATGAACAAAACGAACACCATAAACGTCAAATAATTGCCCGCAGGCTTTTATTTTCCCATATCTTCGAAATGCACCAGCTTGTTTTTGAGACAGGCGTCTATGAGGCGGTCTTCATCATTTAGTGTTGAGATGTTGTTCATTGAGTCTCTGATCTCTAAAAATATCCAAATGCTCCATGTGAAACTGCGGTCTTCCAACCTTTTACGATCATGTCAAATGATTTGAATAATATGCGGAGAAAGAGAGCAAAACAGCGCTCGCTTGTGTTGTTTGAAGACGTGAGAGTGCGCGCGGCCGCGGCACAACATATTTTCTGGAGGTATACTGCCCCCATCTGTTATGGAATATGGAATATTTTTAGATTTTTAGTTCCAGATGGCACCTTTAAATATAATTTAAACAGATGAGTTGTAAAAAAAATTCACCCCCCTCACAGTAATCATGAAGGGAAAAATGAGCTCTATATACACTGTAAAAATGAATATGCTTATCTAATCAATAAAATTGTGGCAACAGATTACAAGCAATATTATTTATTAAATTTAACAAATTAGAATTGAGTAATAGTTAATCAAATTAATATTCTAATTAATTCTAATTTGTACAATTTAATTAATAATATTGCTTGTAATATGTTGCCACAATTTTATTGATTAGATAAAGCATATTATTTTTTTCAGTGTAGACCAAAGCCACTTTTTGCTCCAGGCTGTAAACAGGGCATTTTAACATGGGGGAGATACAGTTTTGACTCGCTTCTGCAGCCTGCCTGAAGCGGCCACTCGATAAATTGCAGTTTAATTCACTTCCGTGTTGGTTTAAACTGTATTACTAACCTAAACCTTCCCAATCACAGACAATGAACCTCCCTCCCCCACCTCAGCTTTTACTCTTGGTCCCCACAATGTAATATAAAAACTTGTACACACATACACACTCACACACACACACAAACATTACATATTACACTGAATTGCAATACATTTTTGTTACATGGTCATTGTGATTTCTTCATTAAAGGTTACAAAAATGCTGGCAGTGGTGGTTATACTGTTCGCTGCGCTTTGGATGCCGTACCGCACTCTGGTGGTGGTGAACTCTTTCCTGCAAGAAGCCTACCTGGACACCTGGTTTCTGCTGTTCTGCCGCACATGTGTCTACCTCAACAGCGCCATTAACCCTCTTATCTACAACGCTATGTCTCAAAAGTTCCGCGCTGCCTTCAAAAGGCTCTGCCGCTGCGGACGCACCACCCTGGTGAACAAGGCAGCCTATAGTGTTGCACTAACCTACAGTGTTGCCAAGGAAACGTCAACGGTGGGAAGCACTGGCCATTTTTCAACCGAGATAGACGATTTGACACCGACAGACGAGCTGTTCCCTGATAAGAAGCTTCTGTATCCGGAGAACTGTGACTTTAAGGAGACTTTCAGTCAGGCTTGAGAAACCCACAACAGCTACACACAGCATTATCTCTGAGAGCTAGCGATATGCCGTAACACGACTACACAAACTGCAGGGACAGCACTTTGAAAGTTTCACTTTATCTTTATTAAAGTAAAAAAAAGTCATACAGCCGAATTCATCTTCCCATTGACTTGCCAAACAGTTCCCTTGAAACTGAAATTAAGTTGCATGGTTGCATTTTTTGCTAAAGTCATGATTCTAAATGAAAATGGCAGCATATAGGCCGCCTATCCCATGTGATGCAGGGTAAATTGAATACATATTGATCTGAAAACATCTTTAGGGATTGCCATTGTGATTAATGAGTAACCTTCTTCCTCTCCAGACCCCTGGGGGAAAAATGCTGAAACTGCTTAATTCTGCCGTTTCACTTGTTTCAAGAAAATTCAATGTGAGTTAACTTTACATCCCACTGTATATAGATATGTATAATATTTTTTTTTTTTTGGTGGATAAACTCTATGTGTAAGTCATTGGCCATCTGACAATGTCACACTGAAATATATTTAGACTCAATTGTATGTGCTCCAAGTTCATTGTAAATAAGCACATTTTGGTGAACCATGAAGGAATGTATCAATACAAAGATAAAGGAGACATTACAACTATTTCTTTCTTTTTTTTTTTTTGGGACTAAATTGTAATTATGAGCCATTAGCGCAACCAATAGGAAATGCAAAATTAATATATTTTTTTATATATATATAATAAATAACTTTTGTTAAACACTCCCGTTGATTGCCATTGGTCGCTTAAAACAGATTGTCCCGCCCCAAATGCATGCTATCTCCAGTTTAAATTTACAGAGAAATGTTAATAAGTGCCACACTGTGTACTGTGTAGACTTTAGGTGGAATAAATGTGAATACCTTACTTATATTGAACGAACGGATAGAACAAATTAAAACATTTAACATCAAATATATATATTTGCCTTTATATTTATTTACATACAATAAAGATTATTTTGACTAACTTATTAGATGACTATGAATTAATGTACCTTTTGTGTAAAAAAAAAACATCTTACATTTGATGAATGAGTATTTCACCTTTTTAATTTGCTCTATTCATGAATTAGTAGACAGCATATGATTGTATTTGTGAGCTGACCATGTTTTCTCAACATATGTGCAAATGTGAAGTTGCATATTTTCTTTATCACAATTGATGGTGTTTTCACTTATTTACAATGAATGTGTTGTGTTATGTTTTGAATATAATATCTTGATGATGGTGTTAGTGTGGTAAATTGTCTCTTTATGTCTCTTGGTTAGTCAGGTTTGCGGTCCAGTGTCAATGAGTAGGCTAAGTGATATTTTAGTGACTTTTAGTTAAAATTGAAACAGATGTTTGCCGAAAATCAGAAAGACAGCATCTACACTGTAAAAAAAAAAAATCATTAAGTTATGATAACATGTTTTTACTTTGCTTTATTGTAATACAATATACTAGTTACAACATTAAACTCATTTTTAAAATCAGTGTATTGTAATTTAAGTTGAAATGACTTAAAGATTCAAGTTCATTGTACTTAAAGGGATAGTTCACTTTGAAATTAATTTTAGCTTACCTCAAGGGCATCCAAGATGTAGGTGTCTTTGTATCCACAGTATTTTCAATTTTGATATTTTTCGGTCAAACCGTTGTCGTCTGTCAGTCATATAATGGATGTCTATGGGGTCCACGTCAAAGAGCATGCACAGAGAAGTCAAAATTAAACATGATTTAATGACTCGTAAATGTAAGTACACATCGATGGCCTAAGACATGAAACGAGCTGTTTGTGTGAGAAAACGAACCGTATTTATATCGTTTTTACCTCGTGTAACCACAGCCACGTCCAACTGATCTGAAGGCACGGGCGCTTCGGTCTGCGCATGCAATATAAACGATATAAATACTGTTCGTTTTCTCACACAAACCGCTCGTTTCGTGTCTTAGGCCATCAATGTGTACTTACATTTACGAGTCATTAAATCATGTTTAATTTTGACTTCTCTGTGCATGCTCTTTGAGGTGGTGACCATAGACCTGCATTATATAAGTGATAGACAACAACGGTTTGACCGAAAAATATCAAAATGGAAACAAAGACACTTACATCTTGGATGCCCTTGAGGTAAGCTAAAACATCTCAAAATTAATTTCAAAGTGAACTATCCCTTTAATTTAAGGTAGTCTCATAGTCTCATAAATGGAAGGTTTATGATATGTTACAGTTACACAAATGGGTTTGAGTCTTGTCTCTACACACAGATGGTTTCAGACGAGAGTTCTGATATAATTTAAAGCTCTTTTCAGCCTGAAAACAAACATGTATAAATTGTTCAGTGTGTTTAATTGTGCTGTAATGCAGTCTGGTAAATGCTTGCCAATTATTCTTGATATACTTAAGTGTGTACTATTGCTGAATTATTCAAATGTTTTAGTATCCAGATCATCACTATTATATGTGTAGCTATTCACTATGTTGCATTTGTGTTATTATTCAGGGTTTAACAAAAAACAAAATCATAATCTAAAACGTCCCTTTTAAAGCCTCTTCTGAATAAAATAAATATACTGGCTAATGAAAGACTCATCAGTTTAAATCATTATTATGCATGTATTGTGTTTCTGAAAATCTAAAAATAGTACTGAATAAGACTCTGCATAATGTTGCATTGATTTCTAATTTATCTGTTTGTTACATTAAGTTACATTTCAGAAACCGCTGCTACTGTCAAGTACATAACATCCTTGCAAAATTCTCAGCTAATCACGAATGGAAGGACAAAATAATATTTTAAAGACTAGTGACCACTGTGTTTGTATACTGGCAAGCTCAGCAGAAGAAACACATGAAATATTCAATATAATTCATCAAATGCAATGTCACCTTGAACCTAGGAAAAACACCAAGCGCATTATCAAATTACATTTTAGTGAACAAGGCTCAGAATAGACTGAAAAAGGGCACTATATGCCTGGGTAGTGTTTTTCTTCATTGTTTTGAAAAAAAGGGATAATTTACCCCAAATTAAAAAGTCTTACATCATTTACTCATCCTCATGGACCCCATTGTTCTTCAAAATATCTTGTGTTTTAAAAAGAAAGAAAACCATACAGACATGAGGGTGAGTTAATGATGACAGAATTTCAGAATCCCTTTGAATAAAATATAAGATAAAAATATGTCAGTGCTCTACAAAACAGTTAATAATGATCATTAATTATTGAATTCTGAGAAATTTTGTTTCATATTCCAGAATAACAGATTTTTTCATTGTACTGCAGCTCTTCTAAACATTGCTTTCTACTTATGCAATGCATCAAGGCTATTACATCTCATGTAAGGATACACTTTCTGTTTGTCCCTCTAATTACCTCTGCTTTTACCTTTTCTTCTTCCTCTTTGAATAATATCATGCACACATTGCCTGTCACGTAATTCAAGATTATATTAAAACTTGATTCTGCTTGTAATGGATATAATGACCCTATTATCAATTAAACGTCAAATTATCTCACAGACTGCATGTGTGAGTATCATGAAGTTGAAGTAAGTTCATTGTTAGATCATACAACTCCACTGAATAAAAGTCTGACAAAACTACCATAATCACAGTTTCATTACAGTGATTATGTAACCATCAAACACAGCCAAACATCATGCATATTGATCATTTGATGTCTAGACTTCACCTAAACAGAAATCCAGTGGCAATTAAAATTGAATTATCTATTGCAAACACTTAATCCTGCAAACGGTCTTCAAACAAATACATGCAAATTCTACACTTAAACTCTCTGAAGTTCAGTCACTCAAAAGCAATGTGCCCAAATAAATCCGAAATAATGGAAAATTGGAAAAGCCTGAAGTTAAACTGTCATGCTGTTGAAAAAGTCCAAAAACATAAAAGTTACTCAATAACACAATGTCAAGGTCCTTTTAAAGGAATAGTTCACCCAAATTTAAAATTCTGTCATCATTTTCTTCCCCTCAAGTTGTTCCAAACCTCAATTAATTTCTTTCTGTTGAGCACAAAAGAGATAGTTTGAAGAATGTCAGTAACCAAACAGGGGCATTATTGACTTTCATAATTTTTTTTTTCTATACTATGGAAATAATTGGGGCCATGTTTGATTACCAACCTTCTTTAAAATATATTATTTTGCGTTCAGTAGAAGAAAGAAACTTATACAGGTTTGGAACAACTTGAGGGTGAGTAAATGATGACTGGATATACATTTTTGGGTGAAGATTTTTGGGTAAGGCAAGTTAGTTCACTCAGCAGCCATGTATAAAAATAAAAATAAAACATGCTAGCAACATGTTAATCATGTTAACATAATGCTATCCACAAGTTTCCGAGGGGCGCTCCTGTAAAAAATAAAGTGGGTGAAACTTCCGGTAAGGTGGCGGAAGTAGCATTCCAATGGTATTTTGTGTGTTAGTTAGCGAAGAGGCTAGCTGTTTTTCGGAGAATTATTTTACTATTTAAAGACGCAAATCTTTATGAGAGATGTCGTTACGGAGCTCAGGGACAACATGTGCTGTTCGCGGTTGTCAGTATAACCGGACTAAACTAATTCAGTGGCTTAAACCAACGTCACGTGATTGTTTTGAACATAAGCCGAAAACGAAATCAGAGTGATCCTGCCAACGACTGTAGTTTCCATCACCTACCAAAAGACGACGAATCTTCCTGTGTACATTTGTTTAAATTCTTAACATTCTATAAACTCTTATCAGCATGTGTTTGGCTGTTCGCTACTGATGTCACACCTTAAACTCAGGATCAAAGCCTGTGTTGACAGAATACCAAATGTGTAATGTATTCAAGTAGCACATTCATTTATAATTTTGAATAAACTCCAAAGCACAATGACTAAGTGTGTACTTTTTATTTTAATTGTTTGTCAGCTCGCACAACTGTCTGTCACCATGCCTTGATGAGTATTGATTATTAATAATGTTATTATAACACTCCCAACCAACTACTGCGGAGGGTAAAGGTACTGTTATTTCACCCTTTTTAATTTCGTTGAGGTTGTGTTCCCACGTCGTTAGCTAGTTTGGAACGCTATAACTTGAATGACTGTCAACTGTTGAATGAACGAGTGTGAAGTATGTCAAGTCGCGCTTTGTTTACTTCAAACTGGAAGACACGCCCACTTTTGACGCAAGGCCTCATGGGGCATAGGAAACTTGTGGATAAACATGCTAATTGCCTTAGCATTTTGCTAAAAACAACTGAGTGTTTTGCCACAGCAAACACCACTCACATTTTCTTCAGGAAATGTACATTCTATTGACATCCCTGACCCGAACACTGGAAATGACATTCCTACAGTCACAGTATTGAGCGTTAAATTACATCTTTGTGAATTTATTTAAATGAAAGACCAAAAGGAAACAATGAAGATTTGAAGAGTTCAGATGCAAAAGCCTCTAAGTGCCATTTGAAAGTTTCTTCTAGAATGATCATTTTTTATCAAGCTTTTATATTTAAGTTCAGTGATTTCACTTAAATGGCAATGATAATTACCTATTAATTGTTATTTAAGTGAAATTACTGAACTGAAATTATACAAGTTTGATAAAAATCATCATTAAAGAAGAAAATTTCAAATGGCATTTAGAGGCTTTTGCATCTGAACTCTTCATTTATTTTCAGTCATCTTTGTTAATATTTTCCAAAGGTGCCAATAATTCTGACCATGACTTATTTACTAAATACAAATACAATGCCTAAAATAATATATAATGGAGCACGATATGATTGGCTTCATCACTGTCTCCTCTCTACCAGTAAGCTGTTGTGTGGTGGGCGTTCTGGCGCAATATGGCTGTCGTCACATCATCTTGGTGGTGGTTGAGGATATTCCCCACTATGTGAAGCACTTTGAGGTCCAAGAAAAAGCACTATATAAATGTAACAAATTATTTATTATAATGTATTTTATATAAAACATAATATCTTCTAAAAGATTTAAAAGGTGATTGGCTTCTCTAACTGAAAGCTGGGACTTCCATCCATTGATAGTCACCATATTAAGCATTATATATAGAGAGAGAGCAGTATGACAAGATATTTTATTGAGCAACATGGTCACTCTCAGCATTTTGCACATAGGGTCCCATAATAACCCACACTGACGTCATCAGACTTCCTGTACACTTCCTGTAAAAAGGATTGAAGTAGATATCTAGATCCAGCTAAAAACAGATTCATGCTGTGCTTAATTATACCAAAGTAAAATCAAATACAAAAGAAGACGCTTCAATACAGTCACTCAATATAAACGTACAACCAGCAATTGTACAAATTGCTCGCTATAGTCTCTATAACAGCTTTCAAGCTACTGAGAAAGTCATAATTAAAACATTTAGTTTGATATGATTGCACCACG